AGACGGCATCACAGTATGGTAAGGGGTGTAACATTTCCGTCACACGCTTGAGCTTTTCGGCCAATCACAACGCACTGGATAGTTGGTTAATCAGAGCACACCTCGCTTTTCAGACCGATTAGTTTTGTAAAAATCGACGCGTTTCAGAAAGGCGGGGCATAGAGGAGAAACAATAATGTACAGTATGTGGAAAATAATGTGTTTTTTTAACCTTAAACCGCATAAACACATTTCATTACACCAAATACACAAAATAATGTTCTTTTTAGCAGCATCATATGACCCCTTTAATGCTTTAAAGAGCAAATTTAGATTGTAATGTTTTACTGTTCTACTAATTACCATAAAAGGTACAGGTGTCATAAAACCCGAGAGAAAGACTGCATGGCTAGAAATGATCAACTGAATGTGCAAGTAGCAACTATGTTAAAGTGTTTTCATATATCTTAAAAAAAGGTCATTACATTTTGGGCACAATATATTAAATACAGTCAGTTGTAGCCTATATTTTTATTTATTTGATCTATTTCAGTTGTATTTTTTGTATACTTTTATTTTTGGACTTATAATAAAGTGTGAGCGAGTCAGTGGTAATATCAATGCATTCCTATTGGTCAGTGTCAGAGGAGCTCAGCTTAGCCTGACAGTTAGCCTGCTCCAGACCAGGTTAGTTTCCCAGCATAAGTTGCCACGGTGACTGAGCTTGAGCTATATGGTAAATTTGCTTTCTGAAACCAAATCAAGTGACAATAAGTCAGACTAAGTGAAATAAGCCTGGCTTATTTGGTCAACTTGTTTTATGAAACAGCCCCCTGCAGCTGTTGCAGTGAGATTCAGATCAACTCTAGGCTGGAGTTTCTCCAAAATCAACAATATCCAAGAAGTGTTATTCCTGTATGAGTTTACTTCATGATATAACTCAAATCATGATGCTTTATTATGATTTTTGCATTTTGTTCAAGTTATATATCATTTTCTTAAAAGATTGAAGCAGAGTGGATTCCAATGCTCCATCACCTTCCCTTTGCTGCCTTATTATATCCTTTTAGTCCATGTTTAATCACCATTTGTTAATCAGTATTATATTTTGATTAAGTGATTAAAATAAATGTAGAATAGTGTTAGCATGGTTAAAGTTGTTTTTGATTCTCTTGTTCCTATGAGAAATTATGTACAGTATGTATCACTTTTAGTTCATTTACTCTCCTTCATGAAGCAAAGTAAAGCATATTTTTATACATGTAAATTTTCATTTTCTGTGTTCATATCAGCACGATTCAGCAGAAAAAGAAAACGCATTTGGAATAAAAACATAGCAGTTTGACTTATTGTGCAATCCTTTCTGTTCATTTTGTTTAAAGGGGTCATAGGATGCCCATTTTCCACAAGTTGATATGATTCTTTAGGGTCTTAATGAAAAGTCTGTAACATAGTTTGGTTAAAATTTCTCAATGGTAGTGTAAAAAACACCTTTTTTACCCTGTCAAAAACAGCTCTTTTCAGAGCACGCGGTTTTGTAGCATTTTCCTTTAAATGTTAATGAGCTCTGCTGACCCCGCCCCTAGCTCTGCTGACCCTCACTCACTCTTCCGAGCTGCTCTCTGAGGGACTGTTTACTTTAGCCGCATTCATCATGAAACTTGCTAATTCGAACATTATTAGGAAAGGCGATTTGCAAAGATTCATTATTTGCAAAGATTAAAAAACCTTACACTCACTTCTTATAGGTGAAGCTGGATCAGGAATGGTTTGCACGAACATAGATGCATTTAGGTAGATTGGGAGCGCATTCCCTTCAGAAAAAAGAAAAAAAACGTAATCCACTGCGTCTTCAGCAGCTCAGATGTCGGGAGTAAATGACTACTGCTATGTTCAGTTCATTATTACATCCAACAACAGAACACCTCAATCGCTTAGGAGACATTCTTGTCTACATCTGCTCTGGCGGTGAAACAATGGCGGACTGATGACAGTCACTCAGGGCGGGTCTAAGGTAAGACACCAGTCCAGTCTGTGCTGAAACGCTACTGTCAATCAAACTATCATGGGAGGGGCCTGTTTTTGTGACATCACACAGGCATCTGAGATCGGCTCGATTTGAGAAAGGGGTAAAGATTTGAGCAGATGTAGAAAAGAAAAAACACTGGGTGGATTTTTATCATTATAGGGTGGTTGTGTACACACTGCCAACACACATTTTAGTTCAAACAACTTGTAAAAGTACATGTAGCATCATATGACCCCTTTAATATGATATTTTATAGATGTTTTGTTGTGATATTCTACAAAACAAGCTTTAAAACACTTTTTTTCTTACTGCTGAAAATTAGATCACTTACTGTGAAATTTACTGTAAAGTTTTATTTAAGGTAGCCTACATCACCAGTGTAAGCTTCAAGGTGAATACTTCTACTTCTATTGTGTTGAATGTGATGTGAAAACTATAATCCGAGTGTTTGTTTGTAAAACTGTCAGTTATGACAGGCTTTCTGTTGGTGTACAACAAGTGAATTGGTAACACTTTACAATAATAATCCATTAGTTAATATACTAACTAACATGAACGAACAGTATTTATTACAGTATTTATTAATCTTTTTTAATGTTAGTTAATGAAAATACAGTCATTCATTGTTAGTTCATTTTAATTCACAGTGCATTAACTAATGTTAATAATGATAATTTTAATAATGCAATAGTAAATGTTGAAATGAACATTAAGATTAATAAATGTTGTAGAAGTATTTCTTAGTTCATGTTAACTAAAGTAGTTAACACTAATATTAAAGTGCCCCTATTATGAATTTTTGAAAATGAACTTTCATGCAGTGTAACACAGCTCTACGTAAATGAAAACATCCTGCAAAGTTTTAAATCTGAAAGTGCACCTTCTATAAAGTTATTATCTCTCAAAAGAAAGAGTGGATTCTGAATCATTGAAACGAGTCTTTTTAAAATTAATCATGTTGACAGGATTTTGCCCGCCAACTTGTTGGCCTTTTCGTGTTGGTCTGAATGAAAATGCAAATTCATTCTTTGCCACTAGATGCCGCTTTTGGAGCGTAAAATAGCGGTTTCCCCGGTAACGCTGTACACAAAGCAGCACTGCACAAACGCTGCTTTATCAGGCATTACTGGCAAGATGCAATGGAAATGAGACCAATCACTCAAGGGATCAACTCATAATCATGTTTATATTAATTAGCCCGTGAACTCATTCTCTCAAAAGGCCTGGGTATACGGAGAACATAATGGACGGAATGCCACTGGTAGATAAAAAAAAAATAAAAATACTGGAGGCTATATGTTAGATGTCTACTAATAAGAATTTTAAGTTAAATAATTTTTTTCATTAGCTCGTTTTAGGGGTGAAAATGAAAGGGTTAATAATAATGCATGTAGTAAAAGCAGGAAATAATCAGTGCTATAATGTATTTTAACCGACTTTATTTTTTTCCAAACCTCCACAGTACAATATATTTGAATGTAATATAACTGTATCTTTTATAATGTCCAATATTAATATGCTTTTTAAAATGGATTTTTCTTGTTTTTGGGCACATTAATTAATAACCGCAACAATATCTTAATTATGCTGCGTTCAATCCATACAGCTCTGTCTGGTCCGCAAACTACGTTTCACAACAAAACACACGCGAGAAGTGATAAAGAAATAACACGAGAACCCGTGTGCGTCAGACCAGAGTTCTCGAAGAAGACTGGAATTATTAAAAACTTGTGAGATGTATGATATTCCATCATGTAAGCAAAGTAACAGCGTTTACAAGGTGTGTGGTTTCATTTCTTTGACATGTTCAATATGATTCCTACTTGGTCTTGTAAGTATCTGTGTTTTCGTTTTGATGTGTGTTTATTATTTATCTATATTATTTGTTATCACGTTTAGGAACCGTGACATTTTAGTGAAGGGAGCAGATCGTAGTTGATAGTGATCCGTGACTAGGCCCACGGTTCAGCAGGGAGTTTCAACATCTGGAAAAGCGGTTGGAAATTGAAAAGATCCGGACAGCAATGGTAAAAAAAAAAAAAAAGAAAACCCTCTCCAAAACAACATTTCCTTACTAAAGCTCTCATCTTTGACAAAGTCCATCATTTATTTTAATTATTATATTGAAT